ATAATGCTGATGACGATGATGATGATGATGATGATGATGATGATGATGATGATGATGATGGTGATGATGATGGTGATGGTGATAATAATGATGATTTGTGATGGTGGTGATCATGATAGTGGTGATTATTATGATTATGATGATGATGATTAAGATGAAGCTGGTGACGGGTGATGATGATGAAGATGAAAATGCTAGTGTTCCTAACAGTTATATATTATGTCATCTATAAGATTGATGATAATCATCTGAAAGGGGAGTGTACTTCATAACTTCATAAATTTAAATTTAAAAAATGTATTACAAATACTACTCGACTTCTCAATTCTCTCCATCTCTCTCTCTCTCTCTCTCTCTCTCTCTCTCTCTCTCTCACTCTCTTTCATTCTCTTTTCTCTCTCCCTCTATCGCTTTGCTCACGACACTCCCCCATTCTAAATGTTCTCTAATATACCCTTGTATCCATTTTTCTATGTTCCTAATTACACATCTTACCTACCAATCTATCTTTCTAACTTCCTCTCTATCCATCCATCCATCCATCCATCCATTTTGTATTGACCTATCGATTTATCTCTTCTTTAAAGTTCCTCAATTCTCAACTGCATTTACATGTTATTACCAATCTTTGCCGAGTGGTGGCGGTATAAATGTTTGCGATGGCACCAATATTGCCCCCATTCCCGTCTATTTACCGAATTTACAGAATAAGAAATATAATTCCAGACTATGTGAAGGTTCTCGCATTTCAGTTTTCATATCAGATGCTAATTTTACAGAGCGAACATCAAATATCACAGCTTGCAATCGTGATGCAAAGGACATGGAGAGACGGTGAAGAAGGGAGGAGAGGTGCGTGATTGACAGAGAGAGAGACAGAGAGAGAGAGAGAGAGAGAGAGAGGAAAGAGAGAGAGAGAGAGAGAGAGAGAGAGCCAGAAAAAGACGAGAAGAGAGAATCCAATATACCCCATTAGTCAAATGAAGTATGATAATCTCAATCCACATATTTACAATTAATTCAAATATTTTGGCGGGAAAGCCAGATATAATTTTTTTTTTTCTTCCAATTTTGGAGTTGAATAATAATTAATGTTGTTGTTGATGATATAAGGTGAATATGTCAATGCATTCCTCGAAAAAGAAAAAAAACGGGGGCCTATTGTGGGGGGGGGGGGGGGGTAGCTGCCCCTGTCGTCAGCTTTAGCCACAAAGCCATGTCAAATTTTAAAACTACATTCAAGAGTTAATAGAAATGAGGCAAAGTGGTATCATGGATAGGCGACCGCCTGGTAATTGGAAGGTATCGGGTTCGATACCCAGTTAGTGCAATTTAATTTAAATTTACACTTTGAAACAAAAAGACTGATGTTATATGTTAACAACTAAAAGTGAACCAGGTAATAGAAGTGAGGCAGAGTGGTCTAGTGGATAGGCAATTGCCTGGTAACTTGAAGGTATCGGCTTCGACACCCAGCTAGTGCTTTTTATTTCTTCTTTTGCTACATCTACAACAATTAGTATAAGTATGAACAAATACAGGAATTAGCAATGTGACACTATGGTCTAGTGGATAGGCAATTGCCTGGTAACTGGAAGGAATCGGGTTCGACACCCAGCTACTGCTTTTTTTTTGTAAATCATTGAAAAAGAAAAACTGATGTTAAACCCATTTTGGGGGTTTTTATGGGGACCTTTTGCGGGGGGGGGAGCAATGTAGAAAAAAAACTACAGGGGAGCCTTGGGCTTTTTTGGGGCGGGGGGTACAGACGCGGATCCAGGATTTCTTAGGGGGGGGCCCAAATAGAAATCAATTTGAAATTTAATCTGCTGAAATTTGAAAATCGTGCCGGCCGATATTTCACTCAGTGAAGGGGTGGAGGGGGGGGGGGGGGTAGTGAGCACTAATTTTTTTGGGGGCCCTGTAAAATGTGAAATGCAGGGGGGGGGGCGATCTCCCAAAAAAGATAAAAATTAGGCGTGTTTTTAAACGTTTTTTTCCCAGGGGGCGGGACCCCCAGCCCCCTCCCCTGGACCCGCCACTTGGGGTGGGGGGGGGGCTAGCTTGCTCTCGTCAGCTAGCTGACCGCCCCCCCCCCCCCCCCCCCGGCAAAAAAAAAGGGGGGGAAAGAAGAAAAAAAAAGGGGGGAAAGAAGGAAAAAAAAGAAGGAAAAAAAAAGGGGAAAAAAGAAGGAAAAAAAAGAAGGAAAAAAAGAAGGAAACAAAAAAAGGATGAAACACAGAAGGAAATAAAAGGGGAAAGATATCAAAGGTATCAAAATATGCTCATCTGACCGTAAATAAATGCCTCAAACCCCTTGACTTCCGGTGGCTCTGCCCCCTGGACCCCACCTAGGGCCCTAAGGCGGACGGCTGGCTGCTAACCTGTCGGTCATTTAATGCTTAAAACCCCTGAGCTTCTGGGGTATCGGCCCCCTTGACCTCACGCCAATCAGTGACCTGCCAGTGTCACAATTAAGGTATCAAAATATGTTCATCTGACCGTAATTAAAAGCCTAAAACCCCTAAGTTTCCGGGGCTCCACGGCCACCCCCTTAAACACCAGGGGCTCTAAGGCAGGCCCCTGCATGCTTGTCTGACCGTTATAAAATTCCTAAAACCCCGGAGCTTCTGGTGGCTCCGCCCCCTGTACCCCCACGCCAATTAGTTACCTTCCCGTGTCACAAATAAGGTAGAATTATGCTCATCTGACGTAATTAAATGAAAAAAAGAGCCATGAGCTGTGTATGTTCATCGATCTTGTTGAGAAAAATTGATGAGGAATCAAGCTTCTCGTTTTATGTGCACTGTGATCCTTTGTTTTGAGTTTATCAAAATTTGTACTTTGCATTGTTTTATTCCAATTTGTTTTCACTGTGTTATTGTCGAGACAACAATTTATTTTGTTCGTCGTTCTGACCTCCTGGGGCCATTTCAGAGCTCTCACTTCCGGAAACTGGATTTCTCTTTGTTTGTTAATTCATGAGTTTCCCGTACTTCACTTGGGTTTCAACTCATGTTCGTGTTGCTAATGTCAATATACACCAAACATTGTCGATCTGTGCAAAAATTCGAGGCCAGTCCAATTAAGTCAACAGACAGTATACTATTGACTTATTCAATCTTGAGTCAGAATGTACCGCAAATTACATTTAATGGACTCTAGAGAAACTGGTGACCCAGGTTTTTCTGAGAATTCAGACATTACGTTTTCAGGGTACTTTAAAACATGTTGTAAAAGAAGTTGCATTATTCAATTTAAAATTTAAAACTTAAAGTTCTTCAGAGAAATGGTGAAATGAGCCGAATTTATGGCACTTTCGATAATATTATGAAAAATTATTGGCGTATCGATATCGCGTAAAGAATAGTTCTAAATTTACAGATACCATCATAACGAACAGATTAATTTCACCGGAATTCGAAATTCCATATCATTGTCACCATCTATACAACAAAATTTCCCCAAATGCAATTGACTGACTTTCCAAAAGGTATCTCAATTACTAATAGTTTGATAATGAGTTTCATGTTTCTATCATGTAATTCATATTGTTGATTTTAAGTTGTTGTAATGTATTTTTTTTTCAAGATTTATCTCTTCCGTTCTTGATATTTTCTAAAGCCTCCGCTCGAAACCACTTTTCATCTTCAACATGGTTTCACCAGGTCCACAAAATCCCTCAAAAACGCCAGTCCAGTCGGCATGTGAACATTTAAACCTTTAAATAGACGGTTTAGTTCTGGTTTTGATAAAAAGTTATGAGCTTTCTAATTGTTATCAGTTGTAAGAAAATCATAGCAGAAATGACCCCTGAAAAGGAATGCTCTTCAGATGCCCTCATATTTGAAATAGGACGAGATATAGCTGAAAAGTTTGCACAAAACTTTCAGCAAGATTAAATCATTTTAGTCATTTAAAAAGTCTCGCAGTATATAATACATCAATTATCATGTTTATTACATAGGCATTACATAATTTCTATGTTGTACATAAGGAATCGACCTTTCGAACTTGCTGCCAGACAGTTTTATGTCAAATCGTAATCGCATAACAAGTGCTCCACTTCCTTTTTAAACATAATTTTGACGGAGGCCATTGCTGTTGAATTGGTGGTCACTGGGGTAACCTCAAAACACTAATTACCTACGTAAAACCTAGTAGGTCATGGTCGCCAGTGTTGTGTTGGGTTAGGTCACAAAGGAAATATATTTTCCCTCGGTGTTTAGCCTCAAATCTTTAGATGAGCTATACAGGTTTTTCATGGAAGAACAGTCGAAATACAATTCAGTTTTCCAGAAAAAAACATGCAAATCGGTCCTTGAAAGGACCGCTGGTTAATCTCTCTTGCATGCAGTTCTTAGAATAAACTTTAAATGGCAGATACAGAATACAAGACAAGTGGGAGAAGTATACATATTATAGGTAGTTCAATGAACTGACTTTTTTTCTTTAGTGAGTTCTGAAAAGAACGATTTGTTTCTAAAAGAATGATTTGGTTCTTTCCAAGATAGAATAACAAGAACAAGCTGATTGGTGTTTTAGGGAAAGCTTTATTGGGATTTAAACCTTAATCTTAAGTGTGCTCCGTGGAGCTATACGTCACATTCAGAATTTAACTTTTAAGTACATTATTAGATGGACTGCCTTGGTGTTTACAAAGAACTACAACATACGTTCATAAGTTTTATGTCTCTTTGATATAGGGACAATAGATTTATTGGTAGTACAATAGACTTTAACCCCGTATGTAGCAGCCATCAAGTCAAACAAAATTGTTAGACCAAACAGGAGCAGGCATTGTGTTTATCGCTCAATCTACAACCAAACTGTACTTTAATCGGAAGTGTGAGGGAAGAACAAAGTACGTGTAGAGTCCAACAAAAGTCAAAAGTTCTGAAGCTTTCAGGAGTCGCCAGAGAAAAACGACAAAACCCGTGTTGCATGACGGGTGACGCAGAGTTGCACAGCTGTGAAACGTCTTTAATCACGCAAAACTCATTCTCCGAAAGCGGCAAAAGACATCAAGTATTTCGAGTTGTCAGGCAGACGTGCTTTGTGCTCAGTCTCATCATCATTTGAGACATTTTTGTGAGCGGGACATTAAAAAGTATAATTGAGAGAAATGTCTGCCAAGGCAGTCGTGATCTGCCTCTTGTTAGGTCTGTTAAGTGGGGTACAATCAGCTGCTCACGGGCGCCTTAAGAACAAGGGAGTACGAACCAGGAGCTGCGTCGTGACAGACTTCCAAGTCCACGACGACTTCGACGTCCAACGGGTAAGAGGAAACTGGAGGTCATCTTGACAATAACTATGTTTATTATTATGATTATATAGGGCCTAAAAATGTATGAATCATAATTAGAATAGTGATTATCGGGAGTGGTGGATGTCTCATGGTTAAAGTCAGATGAATTAGTGGTGGTGGTGGTGGTGGTGATGATGATGTTAATGGTGGTGGTAGTGGTGTTGTTGGTGGGAGTAGTGATAGTGATGATGGTGTGGTGGTGATGATTGTGGTGGTGATGATGGTGGTGATGATGATGGTGATGATGGTGGTAGTGGTAGTGGTGATAATGGTGGTGATGATGACGGTGGGGTGGTGGGGGTGGTAGAGGTAGTGGTTGTGATGGTGATGATGGTGGTGCTGGTTATAGTGGTGGTAGTGGTGACGGTGATGATGGTGATGGTGGTTGTAGTGGTGGTGGCCGTGATGCTGGTGATGGTTAGGATATTGATGGTGGTGGTAAATGCATGTGATTCAGAAAATATCGGGAGATCATAATTGTTCCCATTTCTTTCTTTGGCGTTACTAAATAATTATCAAATTAATTAAATGGCATAACATGACGTTTTAGATTCAGAATGACTCTGTTTCAGCTACATCAAGTCTATCCATGTATAATACAGATTAATGAAGGTATGGCAATGTCTGGTTAGCTCGACTAGCTGACCCATTTATCTTGTTTTCAAACGGTAATACTTCCCCTCGCTTCGTGTAGCAAATAAAGCAACACTAACACGATAAAACAATCATTCGTGTTCCAGAATATTCTTGTATCGATTGTCCAGGACCACAATACCAGAACACTTTATTATTTTGACTTATTTTTAAACTCTCAACTGCCCTTGCACAAGTTGCACCGTTGACCAAACAGTCAAACTAAACATCACTGGTGTTGAAAATAATAATCCCTTTTTTGGACGGTCAGTTGACCCCTTTGCAATTGGCACACTTTATATTTTGAGATTTTCATTGTTTTCAGGAAAATAATTAGGTTATCATCATAAATGTGGAATGACAATAGCAGATCCACCACTATATAAATAGATATGGTCAGTTAAAATTGATCTATTGACGTGCGTGTAGCTAACACCGATTTTATTATTATTACGATTTATGTTTGATGGCATGAGGAATAATTCTTAATTGCTCCAAAATCCTGTAATACCACATTTTCATTATTTCTGTGCAAATTTTTTTTTTTTTTTTTTTTTAAATCGTTATTTTTATGAAATGACGACGTCGACGATGATAATGATGAATGATGATGATGATGATGATAATGCTGTCATCGTCATTGTCATCGTCGTAGTTGTTGTTGCTGTAAATTATTGTGATATGCTCAATTTCTTGTCTTGATAATGTCGTATTAGTATATAGGGTATAGATTTAGTATATGAAAACAAATTTAATGAATCGCATTACTATTTCGTCTTATATATTTTTATCTTTACTGTTCGCCAAAGAGCTGGGGGAAAGGCTTCTTTAGCTTTAGCTTTACAGAATCTATTAAAATATCGATGAACAAAAAGTGGGCAAATCTCACTAATGATCCGAGCAAATAACCCCCGACATCGGGTAAATAAGGCAAAATCGCAGTGTAAATAACTCTTGTGAGTTTTTGGAAACACCAATCCTTAAGTAATTTCACTGTTTATGCTAAATGTATGCAATAACACGTGATCGATAAAAGTGAGTCAACGTGATCTATTTAATTTTCCTGGGCATATCCAGGTTTTTGTATAAAAAATAAGGCACAATTCCGCAAATTTCTGATAACAAGAAAAATGTTGACAACCAAACGTTAGCCTTGAAATACATAAAAAATAGATTGAGTTGAACTCTTATGAGTTCATTCCATGTTGTTGTGTATTTTTTTTTTTTTGGGGGGGGGGGGGGGGGTCCTGTGAAATCTCCGTTTTATATGCATGCTGGGGATTAGACTGCTTTAAAAAAGAATATAAACCCATCGAAAGGACATAATGAGTCAAACAGACTTGTCAACCGGAATCTGTCTCAAATGTTACCTCATAATATGCTAGCGCCAGAAGGGCATTAACGTATCGCTTTACACAGAGTTAAATTCCTTCTGCTTCTGGCTCCAAAACAAATATGTTGATGGTGAATGTAATGTGAACTTCTGGGGGCGGAGGAGATGGGTGGTACTAACAACAGGTCAGTAACAATGTTTTCCCGACAATTATGTTTAGGGGAAATAAATGTATTTACCGGGGACTCTTTGCACCTATTTCTTCCGCCACGGTGTACTATTTGTTTGTCCTTTCCTTCTTCTCCCCGTCCACCACCACCCCTCTTCTCACTTTCAATACACCCATACGGATTATAGTTTTTACACTTCATTAAACAAAATATCTTCTCTTCTTTTATTCTCTATTTTGTCTAACTTCCACTATGTCTCTCCGCCTTCTTATGAAATAAATCACTCTTTATTTTACACAGATTCTCTTCTCTTCTAGACTTATCTTCCTACTTTTCTAACTGCCAATACCTATATCCACCTTTTAATGAAATTAATCGCTCGTTGTGCTATATATAACGTTTGTTATTCTCCTTCTACCCCTTCTAACTTCCAATACACGTCTCAGTCTTTTATTTCGATGAAATCAATTGCTCGTTATTTTACATATCAATTTTTTCTTTCTAGTATGTCGGAACTTGGTACACCATATCTCAGAGTGGAGAAGCGCCCACCTCCTTTCATCGCAGATCGCACTACAGCTTACAAGAAAATGGCGTCCTCGCCATGACGACACGTCGAGTTTCCCCGTAAGTCTTTCCTCTCTATCCCTTTAAAAATGGATGATCTAGAAGTGTTTGAAGCAGTGGCTAAGCTACAAAGAAACGGGGACATGGGGCATATCCCCCCCCAAAAAAAAAAAATGGTGAAATTGGTGATGAAAATAAAAGAAAGAGAAAGCAAGAAAAGAGAGAAAAGGAAATGGAGAAGGGGAAATAGAGAAGACACCGGGAGTACCTCCCGCACTTTCTCGACAAAATTAATAGCCTTGAAAATGACTGGTCCCCTCCACCACCTCCCTAAAATAAACAACAACAACAACGTTGCAGTTGTTGTTGTTGTTGTAGGTAATAGTTTAATGGCGTTCATTCAGTATTGAATATATACGCCATATCTTTAATTTTATAAGGAAAATCAGTTATAAATAAGAAAACTGAGGATAAAGATTTGTAGTGATATAATTAATTAATCAGTGACGCAATTTATTAGGAGTCTATGGATGGTTGCAACGTTGCAATGCACCCTCAATGAGTGGACTCATACTACGCTTCTGGTCTGTGGTTTATCTTCTCCACCATGGTAGTTATCATTGATGGCAAAGTTACCATCAATGGTAAGTTTTGTGCAACAGGGCCCAGTGTATTCACGATGGGTCGGCATTTTTCTGTGTGACACCGCCTTATTAGGATATAAGAGAGACAAGGGGGGGGGGGGGGGGGGGGGGGGGGGGTGGTCGAATTGACAAATTGTGTACCCTCTCGTGATTAAGTTGCAAACCTCGTTTCCATAGAAATCGAACTTTTGACCAATCACAAATCATGAGCTTTACGATACCAATGCAGTTTGATATCGTGTAGTTTCTCGAATGTCGTCCATCGCCAGCCTTGGCTAGACACGCGCAGCTGATTCTTTTACTTTTTAGAGGTGATGTATTCCAGCCTTCACATAAATTTAGAAATATCTATGTTGTCCATACGATTCTAACTACTACATAACACATAATGCTACATAATTTTACCATGTATCTATTTGTATAAGTAGCTGCAGCTCGATGATCATGGACAGATTTGAGGATCTGTTTTAGTCTACAGTCCCATTAATTAGATATTTTGTTTGTTCGATAGATCGGCGCTAGTGTACTTTCGTATCAATTTTGACCCGTAACTCCTGCGTGGAGATGTACGCTACTAAAAACATACCCAAAATCGTAGAACTATGAGTCACAAGTCCCTCTTTGAAATATAAAACCCTTTTTTTCATATTTATTGCTCCTTTGTCCTTTTTGAAAATCTAGCTTTTTTGGGGTCAAATCTGTGAAAACATTGAAATGTTTGTGAACGTAGACTTCTACATAGACCTCTAGAGTCTACTGGTACCCGAAAATTACCTTCTTTTTTGCAAAATTTCTCACTATCATGACACCCCATCAATATGGATTGACATCACTGGATAGGTTTGAGATCTAGATCACTTACTTGCAGTGAAACTTTGTTTACAGGCAGAATGGCTGTGCCAGTGGGATGGAGTTTGTGGCGGAGGCCCATGTCCCAGAAGGTTCAACGACCCCCTCCAAGCTGCTCCTTCAGCCGCGAGGAGTGCCTGTGCCCGCAGGTAAGTGAGGGTGAACTTTTTACACACTTACACATTTCGCATTTTTAAAAGGTAAGGTTTGGGGGAGGGTGTTTTTACTCACTGAAATGTTTAATGTGGATGGATGAAAAACTCTCTTCAAGCGTGAAGGGGACACACACGAGCTCAAAAGCTTTTCCCACGCACGTTTTTACTTGATATAAGTGGGATGCACCTGCACCCCCCCCCATGGGTCTGTCAACACGTACATGTAGGGACACCCCTGTTTCAAATACAGGAGCACTTTGTAGAACTTTTATGGTACAACTACAAGCGAGATCACATCAATATTTTGTATGTCTATTGATTATGGGAACTGGATGATTTTTGAATAGTCTATGAGAAAAAGAAAATTCATTAGTCAATGGGTTAAACGCTAAAGAGGAAGGTCATCATTTATCTCTGTAAATTAGGAAGAGATGTAGACACTCAAACAACTTGTGGAACATCATTCACAAATTTCGTAATCAAAGTCTTATGTTGCCAAGTTTGCAAAGAATTCGTCCTTGATGGCTTAAGTTTATATATATCATTGGGTTGTTTAGTACATTAAATTTCAATATCCTTGGGCCAGGGCTATGGGCATTCCTAAATTCTATAACGATAATATAGATCTATAATATGCACCTTTATGATCTATTCTAACATGTATACTTGTATGCCTGGAAAGGAGATACGGTAATTGGTTATTACTGCTATTATTCTTTTATGTACTGCAGACAATTAAAGGCCCACTGCACTACTTGTAGCTACTTGCGCCCTCTATATAACAAACAATGCCTAATCGGTGACCATTGGTCCCCCATGATCCTCTTTTTCTTATGTTAACTGAGAGCTGAGTTGATGAGATAACCACCTGTTCAGTGACCTTGCTGGGCACTCTAATCCCTCCTGTAAACTATGGCAGATAAGCTTTAACTAAGATCCATAAAATAATCTTCTCTTAAATTTTTCGCTTCGTCTGTTTGGGGCCATAAGGGTGTTAACTCATATATACTTCAACACACAAAGTCTCAGCAGACAACATCGGCATCAAGTACTGAACATATCAAGCTCAGCAATTTCACACAACATTTAAAGTCTAATGTTTCCTTAAAGGTGAAATTCAAAGAAAATCACAAATATGTCAACTAACATATCACTAGAAACTGGTAAGCTAACAGATGGCCATCGTACAAGTTTAAGGTCAACTACATATCGGGTGATTTATAAAAATACAAATACAACAGCCACCTCCATAGCAGCTGGGATATACGAGAGATTCGCCGGAAAAATAAAGACGTTTTAATGACGTCACTCTATGGACCAATACTGCCCAAGCAGATGACATCCCGTAAAGAATGAAAATAACTGCAAAGCTATTATTTGTCAAATTATAATGAGTTTAGTGTACCGGTATATAAATTTAATGGCATGTCAAACCATTCAAAAGGGAGTATGACCCGATTCTGATAACTAAAATCTTTTGCTTGTAAATACACATGACAGGGGTTAATTAACAATCAAAGAAACCAGACTTTCAAATTGAAAATCCCCCGGAATGATACTAAGGACGGCATTTGTTCCCTCTTGGAACGCCGAACATACTACGGTGTGTGCAGCTGAATATACAATGGCGTCTTATTTTGTTTATAAGCGACAGATTCCTTTATTTTTGTATCACTGCATGTGTCATCAAAATTAAACCATGCGCGGGCTTAGAGTGAGGCAATAGATTATACATTTAGCCTGACGGTAGTGAAGTAAGAAATATAACTCAACAGAAGATGAAAACACAGGCACTGAAAATGTGTGAGATGTCATGGGACATCGTCTGCTTGTGCAAACCATGTCCATACTGTGATCTCACACATCTCAGCGGCGTTCAGTGAGCTCTTTAGGTGCTATGCCGGGGATGTATTTAAGTGTTTTGTAATTTATAATAATCATTACTTTGAATGTTTCCAAGCATTGAATTTTGATAACTTTGTTGAATCAAAGTTTCAACTTTGCAATAATGAACATAAAATTAGTTATTAAATTCAATGAATATCTACTTTAAGATTTTGTGCAGTTTCCTCTGGAAGTTGTCAGTATTGTCTTAATCCATGGCAATCCCAGGAAGTAAAGACATACATCCGTTCAAACATCAATTGTTTGGCAAAATGTCAAGGGATCAAGATGTAAAGATCTACCCTTTTGTAGCTTTTTAACCAACAATTTAAATTAACAGGCAATTTAGCACATGTTGAATTCTTATCACTGTCTACTTGTTTTTTATGCCTGCTAGTGCCATTTTCATTATATTTATTTTTTCTTTTAATGCATTGGAAAGTTAGATTAAAAGAGCTTATAGAATAAGTGTTGTGATGTGGTATTTTATTCAGCTATATTAATTGTGAGCATATTTCCATGCCCTAATCATTCACATCTTTGTCCTTTTGTCAACTGGTGTTGTATGTATATCGCCCACCCAAAGCATTCCTAGATTATTTTCTGCTTTGTTAACATGATGTTCAAGTCTTCACCTAGTTCCTTTAAAGCCCCACTGCACTACTTATAGCTACTTGTGCCCCTTACATAGCAAACAATGCCTAATCGGTGCCTGTTGGTCCCCCATGATCCTCTTTTTCTTATGTTAATTGAGAGCTGATTTGATGAGATAACCACCTGTCAGTGACCTTGCAGCGAGGTCTAATCCCCTCTGGCCAAACTAGTACAGCCGGCCTTTAACAAATATTGTTCATTGTCATCCTCCTCCATCAATTCCCCCTCGCTCTCTCCCACAAACACAGAGGACTACTGGGTGATATACACGGACTACGTGGACCACGCCTTGGTCTACAGCTGTTCCCAGAGGAACGAGGATGGGACCTGTCCTGAGGATAGAGCTCGGGTGTGGTTCTTGGGGCGGGCTGGAACACTGTCGGTAGATGCACGTCATCACATGGAGTCCTTGCTCTCGGGCTTGTGTGTGGAGGTCAGCAGAATGCAGGATATTTCTACAGGTGAGAACAGGCAGTGATAAAATAATATATAAGAATTGGAAAACTAAACAGAATTATTGCATGTGGTAGCGCTTTAAACAAATTTTCCTTAGGCATAACAAAATATCAGCCCAAAGAGGGAACAAAAAAAAGATTTCCGACCGACCTAAAGGGCAATACAATATCTTTTTTTTAGGCCCTTTAGAGCAATTTAAAGAAAGAATGGTGAAATACTTTGGTCACATCACAGTCTTTTGTCAGATTTGTTGGAAGGTAAACTAGAAGGTACTTGTATTACTACTAGACCAAGAGGGAAGCGAGGAACCAACTGGGAAGAGATCTTTAAGACCGAAAGAACAAAATTGCTTTTGGCAAAAAAAATTCTTCTACGTGTAAATGAATGGAGAGTAGGGTCGGAAAAAAGTCGTTCCAGAGCACGTACTGCTCTGCTTTTGATTTCTAACACTAACAAATTCTTAACCTCTATCCTGGAGCTAACTATATCCCTAACCCTAACCTTTAACCTAACCAAAAACATTACACTGGTGTATTGCCACATTAACCATCACCCAAAGTATTAGATCTTAAATAAAGCTCGGAGAAAATGTTACCTCGACATGTTTGTGGCTACCACAGGGTAGCAACAAATACCATAAGTGCATTTACTTATCTGTGTTTAGATATGAAGTGTACTGTAGATGCTTATATCTTTTTATTTTTCTGTTGCTGATCTTTTTATGCCGTATCCCTTAAAGGTAAAGACAAGTATTGGAAACGCCCCAATTTCAAAAAATGAAATGGAAGCTCTTTATTACCAATCATGTGAAAGAATATGTTTTAACTAATACATGATGATAAAAATTTTGCCGGGAAACCACCTACTACTTGATATATTTGGTAAATTAGTTTATCTAATGGACTGTGAGAGATAAATGCACGTGTCGCGCATGTGTGTGTAGTCCCATATACATCTTTCTGTGTACAGTGCTTGTAACTTTACGAAGACTGGGCCAAATTTTCTTATCATTTTGATGATTCCAGAACCTTGCAGTACACACCAATATTTATATGCTAGATGATCAACCTTTTCTGATCGATTCCACGTTTCTTTCACAATGCAATCGCATGACCATAACTGGTCTTTATCTTTAATGTGTGAAAAAAATCCTGAAGTTAATTGGGTTCAATGTTCAAAGTTTGTTTGCTCACAAAATAGTTAAGCTCCACATGAACTGTCATCGAGCTGACATACTTTTAAAAAAGCCTGCAAATGATATGCAATTGAGTGATTGGCCTGTATAAAAGCCAATCTTCCAACTTTTCAGTGTCATAAAGATGACATCAAATAAAAAATCAATGTTAGTAATGATATGCATTTTATCTGTATGAATAGGAATTGTATAAATAAACAAGCTTGGATGAAAAGATACTCAGTAGTTTTGACCAAAATTTTGACAATTGTTACCTCAAATCTTTACTTTTCAAAAACTATGTAAACTTCCATATACTGCAGTTAAGAAAAGTGAATGATAACGGATTGAAAAGTGCTGTATATATGCAACTTTGATAAGTATTGTTTGGAAATGATTAAGTTATATGTCTATACATTTTTTCATCAAACAGTCTGTTTTGAGAATACATATATATTTTCAAGTAAGTGTAGGTACAAATATGGAAAGCAAAGTTTCTCATAATAATATTTCTGCGTCTATTAAAGTAGTGAAAAGGGGTTCATGAAATGAAATGTGTGTTAACAGTTGTATATACTGTACATTATGTATCATTATACCGGAGTGTTGGTTCAGTCAGTAGAGCGTCCGCCTTACAATGGGGAGGTTGTGGGTTCGAACCTCGGCCGCGTCATACCAAAAGACATTAAAAGACGGGAGTTGCTGCTACCTTGTTTGGCATTCAACAATAAGGGATAGAGCAACTTCGATCTGGCGCTGCTCAGTGGCTGCTGGGCTCACGATCAATTGGCAAAAAGAATTTCCATTTTCGGTTTTACTTAATAAAATTGGAGTGGACTTTAAAAGAATATTATTATTATTATTATTATTATCTTATTTTTCTTTGCATGAAATCGTCTTCTTCATCTATGGTCTATTGTATTAACTCCCTTTTATTTCTTGTGTCTTGTTAGGATGTGATGCTGAGCTTGGAGTTCCAACGTCAGTAGAGGCAATGCCGCATGGTGAGTATCAAACACATTTGATACAATTCAGAAAGGATAGTCTTGTTGCACATGATATAAACATATTGCAGTCAGTGACTCCATCATATTCAGTCCAACGAGACTGAATTGAATATCAAGAGAGTCTTTTGTTTTATGGCATTGCAAATGATTATCATATTTGTCAGGAACATATTTTGAATTCAATAGTATGTAAGGTTAATGTATCTATTTTTTAAATGCTGTTATATAGTTATACTACGTAGAGCATACTAAATACTTGTTGTCATTATCATTGTTTATTATGTAATATTATAATGATTAGTCTTAGAATTCTATGTGGAAAATGCCTTTTTGTAATTATTTGTTAATTATTATCATTATTATTTTCTTCTTTTTATTTGTTTCAGCTCATGGAGGAATGGTATCATCAACATGTCTTGTGAATGACATCCATACTATGGCAAACTTTGACAAAAACCAGGTATGCTATCAATGCTTATAAACTACAGTGAAACCTGTGTACAAAGACCAATGTCTGCAAGTGGTATTCTACACATTTCCCTTTAATACAGGTTAACATGATAAACACAGTTTAATTGGATGAATAATGCAGTATTCGTAAGCAGGAAGTGTTTATTTGCATTGAAATTAATAAATTTATGTGTAGTCAGTAAAAAAAAAAAATCATTCAGACTTGCATCACTGAATGTATGTGTACGCACGCTTAATTATTCTTTCTTTGTCTTGTACATGTGTAAAACATAAGTAGGGATATCATGCAAACCCCTTGCAAACCTATGTAAACATTAAACTGATTACCGGTAGCCATTGAGGTTAAAGAGTAACTGGTCAAGGTAATTTGTATAATAGGTAAACTTTATCTCTACATCTATTCATGAATGAATATCAGTTGTGAGCATCAACGGTTTGATTCTCCTGAGCAAATCTACATTGAACTTTTGAACATATAACAATTGTAGAACACACAGAAAAGAAATGGAGTGAATAGCTTTTCATGAACACCCTCGTGACAAAGCAGTGCATATGAATCTATGATACTCAGTAAAAATATGTGCCATAGTTCACACAGCTTTACGTGTGATCAAACATTATAGTGATTGGCTGAGTGTATATTTTAACAGTGATGATCATTTGAGAATCAATGTAAAATGGGCGTATCAAACAAACCAGGCATAAAGTTAACTCTAATGGGAAATGATGTGGTCAACTGCCGCAAAACAAATGCAGCTTTTAAAGAAGTATATGAATGGCAGCTGTGCGCAACATAGGTCCTGCGGGTATTCACTGAGCTCTGTGTTATAAGATAAAGAGATACGACGCTACACTTTACGTCAACATTTTTTTTTGGCCAGGAGGGATTAGACCTCCCTGCATGGTCACTGACAGGTGGATATCTCATCAAATCAGCTCTCAATTAACATAAGAAAAAGGGGACCATGGGGGACCAATGGCCACCGCTTAGGCATTGTTTGCTATATAGAGGGCGCAAGTAGCTATAGTGCAGTGGGGCTTTAAAGGGTTTTGCCACGTCCTATCTGAGCGAGGCCTTACTGAATAGTGTATCTATGTATAGTAACATTGCCTTGTTATGTTAAGGGATCAAGATGATAAGATAAATGTCATGGAAGAGAGATAAATGTGTAGTATATGTGATAGCATATACACAGAGCTGATTTTGAAGAAGGTCTTAGCAAATTACTATTTACTGTAACATTTGTCGGGCTATTACAGAAATCAATTCAGTGCGTTAAATATGATTACCAAGAAGAACAAATACAAAATGTTGATGTAAATGAGAGGATGTTTTAAAGTAATCTATTGGATAAATGTGTGTCGGACCAAAAGACAGCAACATAATGAAATGAATGTTTTCAACTATTTAAAGAATGATTTATGCAAATGCATTTACACTTGACCATGCTAAGTGGTACTTTTCTATAGGCGGCCAAAAGGGCCAGAACTAATAAAATAAAATAAACAAACAATGATAGAAATAAACAAAGATTCAGAAATAGACATGGAGATAATGCAAAATTAAAGACAACCTCACAATTTAAGATCACTACAAAAATAAATCAACTTTCTAAATAAATATAACACAGGAATAAAGACAACTTCAGAATTAAAAATAACTGCAAAAATAAGGACAACTCCGAATCATAAAGAAAACTTCGGACATGAAGATGTCTGCAGAAATAAAGACAAACACAGAATTAAAGATAAATGTTGAAATAAAGACAAAACCACAGAATTAAAAATAACTGTAGAAATAAAGACAACGACATAATTATAAAGAAAGCTTCGGAGATAAAGATATCTGCAGAAATAAAGATAACTACAGAATTAAAGATAACTGCAGAAATAAGGACGACTACAGAATTGAAGAGAGCTTCGGAGATCTAAAAGACAACCACGGTACGTGAAGAAAGCTTCGGAGACAAAGACAACCACAGAACGGAAGTTTAGAAACTAGGTAGATAACGACTGAAATTAAGTCTACTATAGAAACGATATGCCCGCTCCTAAAATTATACTACCAACTACAAATACATGATCAAAAACGCAAACAAACTGACAAAAATTAACCGAGAACGATATTACCTACTTCGTTGTGATGGGCTGTTTGAGGGTGATGAGGAGAGGAAGGGCATAGTCATGTAGATTGGATAGTTAGGGGCTAGTGGTGGGAGGGGGGGGGGGAAGGGGGTGTTAACGGGATATTAAGGAGTGTATACTTACTTCATTTTAAGGGGATTTATTAATTATGGACAGTGGACAAGATTGTCTGAGAGTGAGAAGAGGGAGGGCATAGTCATAATGGTAAGGGTCTAGTGGTGGGGGTGGGGGGGGGGGGGGAGGGGGCAGGGAATGGGCCTTAATTAAAAATAAATGAGTGTATATTACCTACTTTGTTTTAAGGGTTTTTATTAATTATGAACAGTGGGCAGGAATATTCATGAAGCTTGGATTATAAGGGCTAGTGGTGGAGGCGGTGGGGGGGGGGGGGCAGGAACGGGACGTACAGGGGATTTAAATGAGTGTATATTACACATTTCGTTTTAAAGGTAATACAAAATTTTGGGAATTTTTTTAAATTGGGTGGATAATGATTCTTTACAAGGTAGTGAGCAACAACAAAAAAAATTTGCCCTCGAAAATTTGAAAAATTGCACCCCCCCCCTTTGAGCGCAGGGGGGGGGGGCATCTCCAAAAAAGGGTAAAATTAACGTTAACAAATGTAAAAATAGAAATTTTTTTCCAGGCCCCCCCCCCCCCTGGATCCGCCACTGGTAACGCTAACTCCCTCGAAACCCGCCCTTAACACTGAGTTTTGTGAATCCTTATCAGCATACTCCGGCTCTTGAAGGAGCCGCAAGAGCAAGCGCGGAACCAGGTGGACCAAGCGGGCCTTGCCCCCACCCCCCCCCCCCCCCGCAAACAAAAAGAGAGAGAAGAAAAGAAGGGAAACGGAAAGAGGAAAGAAAGGGAAACAAAAAAGAGGAAAAAGAAAAGAAAAGGGGAGAAAGAAGGAGATCAGGGGGGCGTAAAGGCCATGCCTCCTAGGCTGTTGCCTCCCCCCCCCCAAATCAAAAAAATAAGAGAGAAGGAAGGAAAGGGGAAAAAAAGGAAAAGAGAATATAAAGGGAAAGGAAAAAAAAGAGAAAGAAGAAAGGTAGGGGAGATCGGCTTACATCGAAAGGGTGCGGTGCGGTGCGGCGCGGTGTGGTGAGTTCAACGCACCCAATCGATAAAAGCCCCCCCCCCCCCCCCCCCCGCTTTTCTCGAAAGGGTGCGTTGAGAACGGAGTACCGTCTTAACACACCCTTTCGAGAAAAGAGGGGGTCTTTTCTCGAAAGGGTGCGTCGACTAGTCCTTTCACATCAGTCGTTTAAAATGTTTAAGGAATATAAATGTCGTTTTATAAATTGAAATAATCAAAATTGAAACTACTTTTGCGTAGTCTTGCAGATCAGGCATTTATAAGAATTAAATCAGTAAATAAAAAGAAACACAATGAAATAATTAACTTAGATATTTAAAAAATGACAAATATAGGTGTTAAGCTAATCTTGCATATCAGTCATTGATTTATTGAAATAAAAAATAATATCCATTCTTTTTTTGTATGGAATTCAGTTTTTTAAATGTTAACTAGTCTTGCATATAACTGTCGTTAAATTACAAATAAAAATTAATTGCCATTTTACTTAATCAGACACATGTTTATGTATTCGTTAAGTCTTGCTGAAAAAATGTAGGGATGCACATGTTTTTTAAAGGGATCGTTTAACAATGTTAAATCTGATATACACGGCCCTACGGTGTTATCAGTGTCTGTGATATGGTGTAATATTGAAGCCCTAAAAAAATTTAAATTTAAGGAAAGTCACATTCTTTTACATAACATGCCCTTCTTTAGTTCAAAATAAATGTGTCACCTTCATAATCAGTTATTTTCCAATTAAGACAGCAACAAGACATACCCAATCAACATTCACTCACACACCGGTTCAACTTTTCTACAAACTTCTTTATTGATGCTAATTAAAAAGACGAAATATAATAAATAGTTTGATATAAAAGTCAACATATTTATTACTTTTCAATAAACATTACACTAGCAAACAATAATAGTAGTAACAATGAAGGTATTATGGTGAATTCAACAGAGATGGTTCCTTGCATGGGTCTGTGACACTCTGTGCTGATCCCATAAAAGCTCCACCCCCCCCCCCCTCAAAAAAAGAGAGAGAAGGAAAAGAAGGGGAAGGTAAAAAGAGGAGAAAGGGAAAGAAAGAAGAAATAAAAGGGGGAAGGAGACCGGGGGCGAAAGGGTCTTGCGTTGCAGGCTGTTGCCTCCCCGCCCCCCCCCCCATAAAAAAAATAAGAGAGAGAAGGAAAGGAAAAGAAAAAAGGAAAAGAGCAGATAAAGGGAAGGAAAAAAGAGGAAGAAGAAAAGAAAAGAAGGGGGATATCAGTTGCAATTTTCCCGCCAACAAGATCGGGATCGGGAGCCCCCCCCCCCCATTGCCTCCTTATATTCCAGTCTTCATGAATATTCCGTCCCTCTTCTCATCGCCCTCAAACAATCCTGCCCACTATTCATAATCAATAAAACCCCTTAAAACGAAAGTAGGTAATATAAACTCCTTTATTTTCAATTAATGCCCATTCTCTGCCCCCCCCCTCCCCCACCACTAGCCCCTAACCATCCAATCTACATATCGCTATGTCCTCCCTCTTCTCACCCTCAGACAATCTTGTCTACTGTTCATAATCAATAAAAACCCTTAAGACGAAGTAGGTAATATACACTCATTTATTTTCAATTAAGGCCCATTCCCTGCCCCTCCACCCCCCTCCCCCCCCCACCCCCCCACCCCTCCCCACCACCCTAGACCACTTACCATTATGACTATGCCCTCCCTCTTCTCACTCTCAGACAATCTTGTCCACTGTCCATAATTAATAAATCCCCTTAAAATGAAGTTAGTATACACTCCTTAATATCCCGTTAACACCCCCTTCCCCCCCCCCCCCTCCCACCACTAGCCCCTAACTATCCAATCTACATGACTATGCCCTTCCTCCCCTCATCACCCTCAAACAGCCCATCACAACGAAGTAGGTAATATCGTTCTCGGTTAATTTTTGCGTTTAGGACACCCTCACTCGTCCTCTTACTGTCAGTTTGTTTGCGTTTTTGATCATGTATTTGTAGTTGGTAGTATAATTTTAGGAGCGGGCATATCGTTTCTATAGTAGACTTAATTTCAGTCGTTATCTACCTAGTTTCTAAACTTCCGTTCTGTGGTTGTCTTTGTCTCCGATATATGGTCGAGTGGATAAGTCACCGGACTGTGGATCACAAGGTCCGCGGTTCAAGTCCCGCCGCGGCACTAATGTCCTTTGGCAAGACATTGAATCTACATTTTGCCACTCTCCACCCAGGTGTTAAATGGGTACCCGGTAGGATGCGAAAGCTAATGTGGTTTGATTAGCAAGTGGCGCTTGTAAAATGGCGACTGGCTGGAATGCTCCCCAGGGAGTGGAGAATGTGCATACCTTGTGTGCGGGGTAAGCCTGAATCCGATGACCGGGGTAATAATAATATGTTGTAAAGCGCTGTGATACACATGTATGTCTGTAAGAGCGCTATATAAATGCCAATATTATTATTATTATTTTAGATCTCCGAAGCTCTCTTCACTTCTGTACGTGGTCGTCCTTATTTCTGCAGTTATCTTTAGTTCTGTGGTTATCTTTATTTCTGCAGATATCTTTATCTCTGAAGCTTTCTTTATAATTCTTGTGTCGTCCTTATTTCTGCAGTTATCTTTAGTTCTGTGGTTATCTTATTTTCTGCAGATATCTTATCTCTGCAGATATCTTTATCTCTGAAGCTTTCTTTATAATTCTGTTGTTGTCCTTATTTCTAAAGTTATCTTTAATTCTGTGGTTTTGTCTTTATTTCTGCATTTATCTTTAATTCTGTGTTTGTCTTTATTTCTGCAGACATCTTCATGTCCGAAGTTTTCTTTATGATTCGGAGGGTTGTCTTATTTTTGCAGTTATCTTTAATTCTGAAGTTGTCTTTATTCCTGTGTTATATTTATTTCGAAAGTTGATTTATTTTTGTAGTGGTCTTAAATTGTGAGGTTGTCTTTATTTTTGCATTATCTCCATGTCTATTTCTGAATCTTTGTTTATTTCTATCATTGTTTGTTTATTTTATTTTATTAGTTCTGGCCCTTTTGGCCGCCCATACTTTTCATATTAAAGACAATTCAAACTTGATACCACATTGGCTTGAATGAATTGAGATGACATTTTAGAGGAAAATGATTAGTTGAAATAAAAAAATAAAAATTGTAGAAAATGATGAAATCATGAATTATCATGATATCAGAAGGATAAATGTGAATTGCGCTTGGCAAACAAGGGTTTTTTCTTCTGGGAATATTTGTTTAATATCACTCATATATCATACCTGTACCTCTTTCGCTTGTCTGAATCTTTGACCGCAAATGACGTACTATATTATCAACATTTGCCCGCTCATTTCAGTCCACTTGTCTTCCTATGGTTAAACCATAGAGAGAAGACTTAATTGAGCAGGATCCAAAAGCTTGACTGAAGTCAGCTTTAAAGAACCAATGCATATATGATACAGACTCTGAAGTATATATATGTTTTTTCTATTTCACTTTCTCTCATCTTATAGATAGTTGAAGTATCTATACTTTTTTGATTTTATTTAATTTATTGTTGTGTGCTTATAATATTTTGTATTTCTGTATAAATGGACGATCCAAATTTACAGGTTTTTGCAACCTTCGAAGCCCCCCATATAACCATTGTAAATATAGTTAAAATTTACTGTTACCTTGTATAATTTGATTTTATATTGCAAAATAAATTGAATTGAATTGAAGTTGTTCTCCTTATTTCTCATCACCTTGCAGTACACGGGCACCTGGTATGTGATATCTCATCTCCAGGGCGACATCTACCCCTACCATAGGATCTCACATTATACACTGGATGAACAGAACTCGTTCAGGATGCTCACACACAGAATAACAAGGTAGGCTAGCTTTGAAGTGTGATCGAGCTCCTAGCTGTAAGCACTCACTTAAGACACATTTATTCCAAATTGCTTTTGATGATTAACTTACTCTGTTCACATTGATGTATATTTCATATGAATTTTAATTTGTAGGTTTATTTGTAATTTTTGTTTTGTTTAATATGTAATTGTTTATCATTGTATTTTGTTTGTTATAGCGCTTAGAGACTTCAGAGGTAAGCGCTTCATAAGCACCGTTTTAATTATTATAATACTTTAGGTAAGGTTTGATTTTATGAATATTTCCTGAAACGGAACTGCAGAGACTGCAATTTGGTTTGCCTGATATTTCAAATTCATTGTTTGGAACACCAAATTTTCCATGCTGGTTATGTTGGTTCCCCCAAACTTTGAACAGAACAGTAATGAGACCTACCGTAGCGAGGGCTCAGCTCCTCAAATAAACAAATAGTATCTGGGATATTGAAATATGGCTCAGCCTTAATTGTAACACTGATGGTGCTACCAAATTTACAAATTAACGTGTCAAAAAAAAGTTGTTGTTGACACAAGTTTCTAGTCAGTATAGAGCCCTTTTTTCACTTGATACAAACATTCTTTGTCCTTTCTTTATTTCCATCTCTTAGCCCTGGTGAATGCTCCACTGCTTGGAAGTTTGAAGGTCAGGCCTACAATCCTGACACTTCAGAAACTACCTCTAAGCTGGTCCTGAAACCTTTCGGCATGCCAGTGTACGGTGGTATGTACAAACCTGCAATCCTATTGATCATTGGGATTTGTGATTTAATTTGACTTGATTTTGATTTTGACTGAAATAGGTTTCATCACTTTTATTCCTTGATTTGAATGATAAAATCACTGATTCACACTGTATATATCTCAATATTATCTGTATTACATTTTCATTACTCGGCTAACACCAGAATATCTCATGGAATATTGTAAAACTTTGTAGAAAAATACAACTTATATGCAATTATTTGAAATTCATCAGAATTCGGTAATGTTGAAATGATCAACAAACACTAAAGGATCTATAAATCATTAGGTTCAAATTGAAAACATCTCGGAGAGATATGAGACTTTGATAACATTTTTTAGGGAAAACATTATTATAGTTCATAAATGTTACATTCTGTTGCTGTCAAAGGAAACATATATGTATGAAAGTATTTCCATGCATTTCCATTTTTTGAGAAATGTCAGTCATTTCTGACTAAGTTGCGTTTGACCGATACAGGATGAAAATTCATCTATTGTTCTTCATTCCTGTAGAGGACTACTGGGTGATCTACACAGACTACACCGACCACGCCCTGATCTACAGCTGCCGGGAGACGAACGAGGATGGGACCTGCAAGGCGGAGGCCTCTCACGCCTGGATGATGAGCCGTGACCCGACCTTGACCCCTGCCGCCAGGTCGCACATGGAGATGCTGCTGACGGAGATGTGTGTAGATGTTTCCCGGCTGGTCGATACACCTCATGGTATGTATACAGTGGTGTATCCAGGATTATATAATGGTGGGGTTACCCTACACTTAACTCTTTTACTTCAGTCTGTGGTTGACTTTCAGAAAAGGAACAGACTGTTTTAGTTAACTGTTGTTACACTAGATTCTGTAGTACATTACAAATCAAAGAATTTGGCAATACATGGATGAGCTCTCTGCAAATATAAAAATTAATACATTTATATGCATTATCAAGTACTTTTGACCAGTGTTGTGTATCTCTTTGTATTTTAATTTCTATTTTTATATGTGGTTGAAGTAATAAATTATTGATATGATATTATTGTAAATATGTTATCTCGTTGAGTTTTATTTTCAATTTAAAAAAAATACAATTAAAAAAAAAAAATGAATAAATACATATTTATTGGAGTTGGCATACATTTCATTGGTATTTGATTATAATGTATCATGTTTGTTCCTGTTATTTTCTCAACCTCAGAATGTGATGAACTTCTTGGACCTGAGAGCCTTATTGACCAAGGTAGGATTATTGCTCCTCTACATGTGTTTCTATGGAGGAATGTCCTCAAAGTCCTATCACTCTAGAACATCAATTCTTGTCTTCTGCTCAGTAGATAATTTCTTGAATCAATGGTCACTCACCAAGTGACTCCAAATAGTTAAACTATCTGTTATAAAGAATGCCATAGATCTATATTGTTCTTTGGGGGGACATAAACATATTTTGATAGCTTACATTATAAAGAGACTGTTTGGATGCTGAGTTGTGATATGAGTACAGGCGCGTACACAGGGGGGGGGGGGGGGGGGGGTTTGGGGGGTTAAACCCCCCCCCCTTGGTAATTTTATGTGTGTAAACCCCCCTAAAATTTCGCTAAACCCCCCCCCCCCCCCCCCTTTTGGATTTTTTTTATTTTTTATTTTTTATTTATTTAAAAAAAAAAAAAAAAAAAAAAATACATATATTCCCATGGTTGACCTAAAAAAGCTGACCTTACCCCCCCCCCCAACGGAGCAAAATGTCAAATTTTCAGATTTCGAGACCCCCCCCCCAAAAAAAAAAAAAATGTGTCCTCTTACCCCCCCCCCCCCCCCCCCCTGAAAAAATCCTGCGTACGCGCCTCTATATAGAGTAAGTTGTCTAAACAAAATATTTACCAAGACTGAATAAACCTTTTAAAAGCTTTACACTTTAAATGTGGAAAGCCGTATTTTTATTCCTCCGCCACCGAAGGTGGTGCGGAGGCATCATGTTTTCGGGTTGTCCGTCCGTACGTCCGTCCGTACGTCCGTCCCGTTTGACCGTTATCACAATATCTCAAGAACCATTTAAGATTTAAACTTAAGACTCGGGAATAGTATTTATCACCATAGGAAGACGATCTGATTAGATTTTGGAGTACGTAGGTCAAAGGTCACAGGTCACAGAGGTCAACTTATGAAATTCCTTGTATTGAGTTTGTTAGCGCGATATCTCAAGAACCAATTGAGATTTAAACTTCAAACTTAAGGATAGTATGTATCACACATATCGGCACGGCCGGTATTAGATGGGCGCGGCCATTTTGCGCACTAAATTTCACATTTCTGTGCGTGAATACGTTCTTTTTCTCTTCTCATCTCATGCATATTCATTCCCCCCTGAACAACTGTCGAATCGATAACCAGGATTTTGATTGTACCTCTAGGTTCAGTTAATCAAGCTCGTTCCAAAACTATATATTTGTCCATATTTGTTTTGCCAAAATATTCTAAATGCGATCTGAAAATGACCTTATTTGTCACTTTACGACACTTAAAATTCAGGTTTTTTTTAAGTTGTCATGGCAATAAAATACAATTTTTTAATGATCTCATGTATATATTTTGATTGCTCATCATTTTCCTCAAATTGATCATTTGGTTTTACAAGTCTCGTTGGCAGATTTTAAGCTACGAGTCCTCAAAGATAAGGTAATTTTTTCCAATTTCTCCTAATTTCACACCTTTCACCCGAAATCGTAGTACATTATTGAATATGGAGCAAGATACGAGAATTGATAGTTATCATACAATTTATTATGATATTTCTGATGATTTAATTACCTATTTTTGCAGATTTATAACGTGAAACAAATACTAAACTGAGTTTGAAAATACAACAAAAGCAGCTGATTTATATATTTAGCATGTACGCGAACACGTGTAGCCCACTTCGGTCAGGGTAGTGTAACGCCACCCTACCGTTGTGTGAACAATCCCACATGCAGATAAATGTGTCTTGCGCACATTTGGAAGCATAAACACAAGTTTAAAAAAATATTAAAAATCGCTCGAATTGAATTTATCATGACATTTTTAGATTATGTTTCTTTAGAATGTTGTTTGTAGATATGCACATGTCACAAGATTTTTTTTCTATTAGATTAAAAGAAAATCAAATATTTCTTGAGCATGGTCAGGGGAAATTTTTTATCGCCTGATGAGTGATGTGTGTTATGTTATTAACTGAAGCTGAGCCAGGTGTAGACCGAAAGCTTCAGTCTCTATAATCGTCGGTTGTTCCACTAAGACTACGTCTGGCTCCACTAGACCTCCGTCTGGCTCCACTAGACCTATTATCACAACTTTTCGGGCCGAAATTGGAAGGGCCGGGGTGGTTCAGGATTTTGGAGGAAAATATTATATTTTTAAATAGGCTAGTTTCCCCACAATGAATGTACCTACATGCCATTAGATGGATCCTGACCCCATATCCCTTTGAAAGGGGTGTAGGGGCAAATATTGTTAAAATTGAATTATCACAACTTTCGTGACAAATTGTAAAGGCCGGGGTGGTTCAGCATTTTGAAGGAAAAAATTATTTTTTGAATAGGCCAGTTTCCCCACAATGAATGTACATACATGCCATTAGATGGATCCTGACCCCCATATCCCTTTGAAAGGGGCGTAGGGGCAAATATTGAAAAAATTTGAATTATCACAACTTTCGGGCGGAAACTGTAAGGGCCGGGGTGGTTCAGCATTTTGAAGGAAAATATTTTTTTTGTTGAATAGGCTAGTTTCCCCACAATGAATGTACATACATGCCATTAAATGGATCCTGACCCCCATATCCCTTTGAAAGGGGCGAAGGGGAAAAAATATTTTACAAAATTGAATTATCACAACTTTCGTGCCGAAATTGTAAGGGCGGGGTGGTTCAGCATTTTGGAGGAAAATATTTTTTTTTGTTGAATAGGCTAGTTTCCCCACAATGAATGTACATACATGCCATTAGATGGATCCTGACCCATATCCCTTTGAAAGGGGCGAGGGAAAAAAATATTTTAAAAATTTGAATTATCACAACTTTCGTGCCGAAATTGTAAGGGCCGGGGTGGTTCAGCATTTTGGAGGAAAATATTTTTGTTGTTGAATAGGCTAGTTTCCCCACAATAAATGTACATACATGCCCTTAGATGGATCCTGACCCCCATATCCCTTTAAAAGGGGCGTAGGGGCAAATATTGTAAAAATTTGAATTATCACAACTTTCGTGACAAAATTGTAAGGCCGGGGTGGTTCAGCATTTTGAAGGAAAAAATTATATTTTTTGAATAGGCTAGTTTCCCCACAATGAATGTACATACATGCCATTAGATGGATCCTGACCCCCATATCCCTTTGAAAGGGGCGAAGGGGCAAATATTGTGATAATTTGAATAAACACCAATTTCAGGCCGAAATGGTAAGGCTGGGGTGGGTTCAGCATTTTGGAGGAAAATATTATATTTTTTGAATAGGCTAGTTTCCCCACAATAAATGTACATACTTGCCATTAGATGGATCCTGACCCCCATATCCCTTTGAAAGGGGCGTAGGGGCAAATATTGTGATAATTTGAATAAACACCAATTTCATGCCGAATTGTAAGGGCCGGGGTGGTTCAGCATTTTGGAGGAAATTGTAAAGGCCGGGGTGGTTCAGCATTTTGAAGGAAAAAATTATATTTTTGAATAGGCCAGTTTCCCCACAATGAATGTACATACATGCCATTAGATGGATCCTGACCCCCATATCCCTTTGAAACGGGCGTAGGGGCAAATATTGTAAAAATTAGAATTATCACAACTTTCGTGCCGAAATTGTAGTAGGGCCGGGGTGGTTCAGCATTTTGGAGGAAAATATTTTTTTTTGTTGAATAGGCTAGTTTCCCCACAATAAATGTACATACTTGCCATTAGATGGATCCTGACCCCCATATCCCTTTGAAAGGGGCGTAGGGGCAAATATTGTGATAATTTGAATAAACACCAATTTCATGCCGAAATTGTAAGGGCCGGGGTGGTTCAGCATTTTGGAGGAAAATTGTAAAAGTCCGGGGTGGTTCAGCATTTTGAAGGAAAAAAAATTATATTTTTGAATAGGCCAGTTTCCCCACAATGAATGTACATACATGCCATTAGATGGATCCTGACCCCCTATCCCTTTGAAAGGGGCGTAGGGGCAAATATTGTAAAAATTTGAATAATCACAACTTTCGGGCGGAATTGTAAGGGCCGGGTGGTTCAGCATTTTGAAGGAAAAAAATTTATATTTTTGAATAGGCTAGTTCCCCACAATAAATGTACATACATGCCCTTAGATGGATCCTGACCCCCATATCCCTTTAAAAGGGGCGTAGGGGCAAATATTGTAAAAATTTGAATTATCACAAACTTTCTGGCCGAAATTGAAGGGCCGGGGTGGTTCAGAATTTTGGAGGAAAATATTATATTTTTTAAATAGGCTAGTTTCCCCACAATGAATGTACCTACATGCCATTAGATGGATCCTGACCCTCATATCCTTTGAAAGGGGCGTAGGGGCAAATATTGTTAAAATTTGAATTATCACAACTTTCGTGACAAAATTGTAAAGGCGGGGTGGTTCAGCATTTTGAAGAAAAAATTATTTTTTTGAATAGGCTAGTTTCCCACAATGAATGTACATACATGCCATTAGATGGATCCTGACCCCCATATCCCTTTGAAAGGGGCGAAGGGAAAAAATATTTTAAAAATTTGAATTATCACAACTTTCGTGCCGAAATTGTAAGGGCCGGGGTGGTTCAGCATTTTGGAGGAAAATATTTTTTTTTGTTGAATAGGGCCAGTTTCCCCACAATAAATGTACATACATGCCATTAGATGGATCCTGACTCCCATATCTCTTTGAAAGGGGCGAAGGGGCAAATATTGTAAAAATTTGAATTATCACAACTTTCATGCCGAAATTGTAAGGGCCGGGGTGGTTCAGCATTTTGAAGGAAAAAAATAATATTTTTCGAATAGGCTAGTTTCCCCACAATAAATGTACATACATGCCCTTAGATGGATCCTGACCCCCATATCCCTTAAAAGGGGCGTAGGGGCAAATATTGTAAAAATTTGAATTATCACAACTTTCGTGACAAAATTGTAAAGGCCGGGGTGGTTCAGTATTTTGAAGGAAAAAATTATATTTTTGAATAGGCCGTTTCCCCACAATGAATGTACATACATGCCATTAGATGGATCCTGACCCCCATATCCCTTTGAAAGGGGCGTAGGGGCAAATATTGTAAAAATTTGAATTATCACAACTTTCGGGCGGAA